ATTCTCCTGCAAATGCACCGGTACTATTCGCAAAAAAACCGGGCGGAGGTCTTCGATTCTGTGTTGATTATCGTGGCCTCAATTCGATAACAAAAAGGGACAGATACCCGTTGCCGCTCATCAAAGAAACACTTCAGCAACTCTCCAAAGCCCAATACTTCACAAAACTTGACGTCTGTACTGCATTCCATCGCCTACGTATTCGACCTGGCGATGAATGGAAAACAGCGTTTCGAACAAGGTATGGACAATACGAGTGGCTTGTCATGCCATTTGGATTATGCGGCGGACCAGCTACTTTTCAACGTTACATAAATGCTGTGTTACAAGATATTTTGGACGAATACTGTTCAGCCTATATGGATGATGTTATCATCTATTCTGATGGTGATTTATCCGACCATTACAAAAAGGTTGAAGAAGTTATCAGACGACTCGAAGAATCTGGCTTACGGTTAGACATCAACAAATGTACCTTTGCCACGTCTGAAGTCAAATATCTTGGGTTCGTAATCAAGGCTGGCGAGGGTGTTACAGTTGATCCAGCCAAAATAGAAGCCATCAAAAACTGGGAGGAACCAACGACAGTTTCTGAAACCCGCTCTTTTCTCGGTTTCGCAAATTTTTACCGAGAGTTTATTCCAAAATTTTCGGCCATTGCCCAGCCATTGATCAGTCTCACATCGAAACAAACCCGCTGGAGCTGGGACACGAAAGAAAAAGATGCATTCGAAAAGCTTAAGTCTATGCTATCCTCAGCACCATTATTAGCGCTTTTTTCAGCCGAGAAAGAAACCTATTTGGAAGCAGATGCCTCTGGCTATGCTATCGGTGGGGTTCTTTCTCAAATTGACGAAAAAAATCGTCTAAGACCAGTAGGTTACTTTTCACGTAAATTGACTCCAGCAGAATCAAACTTTAACATTCATGATAAAGAACTGCTCGCTATTATAACAACAATGCGCCATTTTGATGGTGAGCTTCGAAGCGTTGAAAATCCTTTTACCGTTATCTCAGACCATCAAAATTTACGATATTTCACAACTTCAAGACAACTTAGCGAACGTCAAGTGAGATGGGCCGAGACCTTGGCAAGGTTTAACTTCAAAATTGTATTCCGGCCTGGCTCCCAGTCCGGTAAACCAGACTTTCTTTCGCGGCGGGCACAAGAAGCCCCGCGGGATACGTCGGACGAGCGGTTACAAGGCCGCAATATCCAGTTGTTCAAAAATAATTTAAGCACGTCTTCACCAGAAGAATTCATCTTAAATACAATAAACATTGTAGACTTTCCGGATATGACCTTGAAACATATTGAAACTGACCAGAATATCATGCCCAGCGGCAAAAAATTATTTGAAGATAAGGAATTGCTTCTTTGTGGGACGAAGCTCTAGAAAAAGACCAAGCTTTTCACAGTATTCATGCATCAGTCGCTGCAGGCCAGTCTACTTTACCTATAGAACTTAAATTAGGGGTTCAAATGACAGATTGTAGCCTAGATGACAGAGGCGCGTTAACACGACGAGGTGCGCTATGGGTTCCAAATTGGGAGCCACTGAGAACAACGATCATACAACGTTCCCATGACTCAAGTATTACTGGACACCCCGGAAGAGACGGTACCCTTCACATAGTGTCTCGAGCATTTTTTTGGCCTCAACAATATTTAGACATTCGCAGATTCACGCGAAACTGCTCGATCTGTAGTCGATCTAAAGCGTGGCGTCAATGCCCGCAAGGATTACTCAGACCACTCCCTGTACCTGAACGCTTTCATAGTGAGTTGTCGGTAGATTTCATGACAGACTTGCCTGCGCAAAAAGAAGACGACCCCAAATATCTTATGGTTATCACTGACCGTTTACTCAAGAGCTGCACCCTAGAAGCAATGAATTCGATGGAAGCTGAAGCTTGCGCAGAACGCTTCCTAACTTGTCATTATCGTTTTCATGGGTTTCCTAAATTTATAACATCAGACAGAGGGGCAAATTGGGTGGGTCATTTCTGGACTTCTTTATGCAAAATGACAGGTATTAACCAAAGATTGTCGACCGCTTACCATCCGCAGACCGATGGTAGTACAGAAAGGATGAACCAAGAAGTGTTAAACTACCTCCGAGCATTTATTAGCTACTCGCAGATAGACTGGTCTAAACTACTCCCAACTGCCATGTTAGCACTCAATAATAGAAAATCGACAGTTATTGGCACTAGCCCATTTTTTGTTACTCACGGCTATGATGCTGAACCAATACAACAAACACATACTAATTCACGAGCAACAAAATCACCGCAAGCCCGCGCGCGAGCATTCGTAGACCGAATAATACAGGGTCAAAGCATGGCACAGGCAGCTATGACAACAGCACAGCAATTAATGGAAGAATCAGCCAACCATCATAGGAGACCAGCGGAACGTTTCAAACCGGGCGATACCGTCTGGCTAAACCTTAAAAACGTCGAAACCCCGCAACAAAAAAAGAAACTCTCATGGACTCAAGCAAAATACAGAATACAAAAAGAAATTGCACCTGATGTGTATCAACTAGATGTACCAACAGGCATACATAATCGATTTTTTGTAGACTTATTAAGGCATGACCCAAATGATCCACTGCCTTCACAAAAAGTCGATGACACACAGCCGCCCCCGTTAGTTGATGGAAAACATCCGTTGTATGCTGTTGAGAAAATAGTTCGCGCTGAAACAATCAATGGGCGTCGCAAAGTCCTGGTATTCTGGAAAGGGTTTGCTGAACCCACATGGGAGCCTCGACAAAATCTTAAGTTAACAGATGCCTACAAAGAATTTGTCAAGCAGTACGGGGATGGCGACAAAGTTGGTCTTCAGTTAGGGATGTTTACAGGTCGAACATTAAGAAATCGAACTATGCGAAAAAGAAAAACAAATAAATGAAACCGGGGGAGGGAAGTAATGTCATAGGACACTAATCACGTGCTACAATGTACGCTTGGACCAGTGAGGAACCACTTTTATGTGTATATAGTATTGCGTTAGCCACCATGTCTTTCTCTCCTCATAGATTACAATCATATTATTGTTTTGCCTTTTAGTCAGAGTCTTTCCTGACCCTCATGCTATCACAACTCCTATAAATACCTGTGAGTAGTAGCTAGAGTTAGCTTTTCTCCTCCTATAGTTTATTAAATTGATTTATTCATCACCAACTCGGTTTCCGTCACAATTGCAGACTTCAAGGCTTTTATGGCGCCTAAAACTTCTGCGTCAAATACCTCTGCTCCGGAAAGTGGACCGGAACCACTTCCAACTAGCTTGCCTCCTTGGTATACTACCCACCCCCAGGCTGATTTTCCGGGACCCTATGATGATCCATCAGAGAAAGGGAAGACTGTGTTAGGCGCAAGGGAAGCTAACCACCGCTTTATCCTTCCAGATCTAGCTTCATTTTCTCGACTACATGGAATCGATACTGGGGTGCCACGTGGGAAGTATAGCTTTCCAGGGCCTTCGGCTGTCGGAACTCGACGCACACTCATTTATAGGCGTGTCATGTACCGTTCTGGTTGTCTGAACAATCGATCTCTTTGTCCCGATCTAAGACCTAAGCGTCTTATTGTCTCTTTCGGATCCTCAGCCGCCCGAATGGCTAGAGGGTGCCAGGCATCCATTCTTCGCATACGAGCTACAGACCGCAGCATCTTTTGCTGAAGAATTATTGATGCCGGGGGTATTCCCGCTTCACGATGAAGAGCGCCATTGGGAGTGCTACTCTGATAGCTTTCATTATTGTTCTGTCCAGTAGAGATACATGCCAGCCTTCTCCAGTGCCGACTTCTTTATATCGCAGTGTGGTTATTCGAGTGAGACCCGACCACCACGCTTCTGTCTCATATAGAGCCGTGCTCAGAACGCATGCATGTTCCACACCAATCAGAGGTCCGGGTGCTGCACCGCGTTGAACTCCGCTTATATGTCGTAAGAAATGGACTAGACTATTAGCCTTTCCAGTCCATTCCTGTACATTCTGCTTGAAGTTCAGCTGGGTATCAAGCCAGACTCCTAGCCACCGGATATGAGGTGACGGTTCAATCCAGCGATCTTTCACCAAGATTGAAAGGTCAGCCGCGTTGATCTTCTTTCTAGGCCCTCCTCCGGTCACTAGAAGTTCTGACTTTGCTCGATAAAAATCGATCCTGTGTTCTCTTGTGAGAAGGATAAAGCTGTCGAGGTCGTCTTGAGCTGCGGAGATGGCATCTGCCGCGGTATTTCCAATTCTGACAATAGCTACATCATCAGCATAACCAAACCTGCTCGTTAGACCACGATCCTCAAAAATTACAGCGATGTAGAGTATGAAAAGAAGTGGCGATAGTGGCGAGCCCTGAGGTTCTCCACATTCCAATTATCTTCTCTTCTGTGATTCCACCACGGTATTTGACCTGGAATTTTCGTTGGCAAAGAAGTGTCTGTATAACCCGGCACAGGGATAGCGGCCAGCCTTGTTCTCGAAGGCGTTTGAGCAGCCGGTTGTGAAGGACTGCATCAAATGCACCTTGAATGTCGAGTGTGACCATAGCCGCACACTTACCACTTCTCATGGCCGCCTCAGCATCATGGATTACACAAGATGCAAGGTCGACTGTAGATCGTCCTGGCACGGAGCCGAATAGTTGTGCGTGAAAAACTTGGTGACTTATCGTCAGCCATGCCATTCTCTTACCAACTAGACGCTCAAGTCCTTTTCCTAAACTCGACAACAGCGAGATTGTTCGCCAACTAATATCAATTGATTTTCCTTAATTTTTAATTTAAATTGAAGACCATTGTACAATTCCTTTAGAGTTGAAAACCATCCCCATAATTTAAACTTTCACGGAATATCATTGGATAGTACCACTTGCCTGCTTAACTAGTCGACGAAATAGACATGGGCCTGCATCAAGACCAAACCAATCAAATCAACATTCACAGGGATCTAACCCCAGTCATTTTGACAATTGTACAATTGGCATCCATGAGAGACTGTGCATTATACTTGAGAGGGCTGAGGTTCCAGGCACCGAAATCATGGATCGTCCGTGCGCCTAGCGCCACGCTGACGGAAAAAGTCCGGGCATCAACTTACGACGCCAAGATTGAGCATGAGCGGGATATGGTCGAGAGAGAGACATATGGGAACAAATTTAGTGGTAGGCAGTGGAAAAGGTGGTGCGAACATAAACAAAGGATCGAGCGCCAGCATATGAATGGTACCGGATAGGAATGAGTAGTTGGTACAAACAGAGCACGAGGTAGTAGTTTAGAGGGAGGAGGAAAAACGAAAAGTCCACATAGCTTTCTATCGCGCATATAGTATCGCCGATAGTGAAGCACAGGACAGTCGTGAACCACCAATCTTAGCCAGGTACTTTTTCACTAATATAACCTATCATCCGTGACCTCTACGACATGTTGCTAGCTAAGAACGTCAGGGCTACTGTGCGAATAATAGTTGCTAGTAGGTCCGGCCTCAGTCCTTGGACATACCTAGGAGGGACGCGATTCCTGGCTGAGTGTCGACAACGGGAGGCTGTGTTGTGCTGGTGATGGCCAGGATTACGATGCACAAGGGTAATGATCACTGAGAATGAAGGAAGAACGTTCTAGGTGGCTCCATGATGAGTAGAGGAACAATGGAGCACTGTATGGAAAGTGTTTCTAGACAAGACTACCAGATGGAGGAGACTAGAATATTCCGCGATACTTTTTAGGGAAAATAAGGCGAGATTCTAGCTACCTCAGATGTCTAAACAAGTATCGCTTTCTACCTCCAGAATATTTACAGTTCTGAATATCAAATATAAGGGCAGTTCACACTAATTCAACGATAATCATCCGCAAACCTTCTACTAGTTAACCTCCGTAAGCTCTTATCCTTACAACAGTCTGGCCGATGACGAAACCATACTTCTAACGTTCGGTGCCCACGAATATCTTCACTGCCAAATAGCACAGGTCTCAGCAAAGACTACAGCAGGAATCATGAAATGCAGTTCTCAATTTTGAAGTACCAGTTATTTGAGAGTGGCCGAGTAATGTTACATTCGTTCCGTCACAGAACAGATTGGACTTGCAGCTAAGAGAAGTAGGCTTGAGTGGAAATAACACAAAAACTGTCGCAACACTATTTTGGGATGCACATAAGACAGGAGAGAGATCAAAATATGTTGATAGTTAGTCAAGTTGATTGGTGCAGCTTAGCGTGTCTTCCTTAGGTCTGACACGCCTGTATCTAAGAAGAAGAAGAAGAAGAATCGCATCAAAGAGAGACCCATTGCGTACGCGTACACGTGTTTTTTACCTACCGACAAAAACCCTCTTTTATTAATAGATTGGATCGCAAACTTCCCTATCATTCAAGGTCACCACAAGGCTTCGAGGTGGACCATTTCTAAATTTTGCGACGTGTTGAAATTCACAACCTCCTGCAACTACCGCAAAGTGTCTGGGCGGGATATCTTCATATATATTAGCTTTAATGATGTTGAAATTGAGAATGCGAGTAATGATGACTTACCTCTTCTCACTGTCCCATCTGTTTGCACGAATGGTAGAGGCAGATAGTAGTGCGAGATACCCCTTATTACTAACATTTCGAACCTGTAAAGATTGTTTACGTTTATGATTGTCGTCTGGCCATTTAGATCACGACAGTAGGAATTGATAACCCCAAGGATCATTTCCTCGCTGTAGACCGACCCGTCACAATCAGCGGCTTTATCAAGGCCATAAACTTTAACCTGTGCATCTACACCAGCCAGAACACAAGCAAGAAGAAATAGGCTCGTTGGTGAACGCATTATGGCCGAATGTGTGGGAGAGGATTGGCTAGTCCTGGCTACATAGTCTGACCGATATAAATATGAAGTGAATGGAGCAGATTCGATGCGAATGGCTGACATAGTAGTTACATATGCCAAGCTCGTACGAGATACGTTCCAAGTCTCTTAGCTGGTTACATGTGCCAAGCTCGTACGAGATACGTTCCAAGTCTCTTAGCTGGTTACCCGGTCAGTACTCGATAAAGTGGGAGTTTTCTGGAGACCCTAGCAAGCCCTATGTTCCTTTTGATCATGGTGCTAGACAAACAACGCCTACTAAATTGTCATTACAGTAGGCGTACCAACAATCTCACTAACAGTCGGACAACAAATTTGGCCTTACAGCGACATGATTGGAAATTCGAACGGTAGTGGCCGACTTGTGGATCATTGTACGGGTAAAGATTGATTCTGAGGAACTGCTGGGGAAATAAAAGTAACAAACTATTAACCCCGCCTGGCACTGAGATATTTGTGCCGAAGAGTTCGGAGCTTCTATCTATTGCAGAATTCAGGGTCTCAACGAGGGAAATATGACAGAAAAGTATTTATTTACTCTTTCGATAACCTTTACTTGACATTAACTCCTTTGATTGCGTAATTAGATGGGTGTATTGTAGGTGTAATTGATAACGGGAGAAAGACTACCAATGTTCCTTGATTGGCTTTATTGTATTCATTTAAATTTAAATTTATTTAGCCTAGTTTGGCGGCCTATGGGCCCATACAAGTGTCTACAAACTCTCATATTTGCATGAGAGGGAACTATGGTGGTAAAATCTCCTTAACTTCTCGATCAGTCTACAATTTGCTACGATGTTACTTTTGTTGTAATTCTAACAGTCCTGCACTTGTTACACTAGTCATGTACTATCTCGTTTTCGTTTCCGTTATTCGTATCATTTAATACTGCGCCACATCTATTTTCTGTAATATTAATTAGTCTTGGCGCTTAACACAAGATATGTTGGAAATTATGGTATATGCATGAATCTGTCTTACACTCAGCTAGTTTGGGGGTCTACTGGTGGTCAAGACATACCATCACCATGATAATGTCGCCATACTGGGACATGGGCGCATATCCTGGCTTATTTCTAAATTCGTCTCAGTAGGACTAATTCCTGTATATATATGTAGTGTTCTTCTCCTTCAGAAATCCTCAGTTCATTACATTTACTGAATATCTCTGAAGGTCTATTCATACCCTCTTCGTGTCACCCTACCAAGCTTCACCCTTAAGCTCTATTCAACTGCTTCGTTGTTCGGCAAATATCCTTCACCTCCCTATACCATTCCAGCATTCCTCTACGATCCATAACCTCACAATAACTTTTGGGAAGCGCAGTAAAACTGTCATGCCAAGTGAGGAAAAAGTCCTCTTCCCAATTACTCATTGAAGTTTGTCCTCCTCCTCCTACCCTCCTCTATCTCACTCATCGTAGCCCCAACTTCAAGCGTCAGTCGAAACTGCCTTAATCTGCCATCACATTGAATCCACTTTGCCATTCTTGCTACATCCCTCGGGTCATTCATCATGGCTTCGAATGACCGAGTCTCTGCCTTTTTCAGTATCTCCCCTCTATCCTTGGCTCAGTTGGAGCAGGCCATGATCATCTGCGTGAAATTTTGGGACGGGCATCCACATTGAAATCATGGATTGTCTATACCTCGAATTTTTCTTTTATGCAGATAAGAAGCGAACACATAGGGTGTTACAGCCTGCGCTAAGGATAATGAAGATCGCCGTCTGCCGAAGAGAATGTATTAGTAACTTTTAGGATTATAGCTACTAATGAAGGATACTCAAACGTAATTCAACTGGCGAGGTGCCAGGTGGTCAAAGGTCGGAGAACTATAGGATAGTCAAGAGACACGAAGTAAAGAAGTCGGGTTTGTAAGAGGACTGGTCACGCTAGCTATTCGCACAAGTGAATCCAAAATGGAGTTTATTTTCTGTATAACGAAAGAACTATATGAACTTCGCGATTAAAAGTATACTGTGCCTTATGTAAGCCACCCGAACTTGGCCACCAAATATTATATATATAATTCATTTTCCTGATCTGGCGCCTTGAGGCCTATGCAGCTTTTTATCGGAAGATAGATACTTGAAGTAGGATGACTCAATTTGACCTTTAAAACACTCACACTCAGATTTCATTTGCAGATACCACTCGAGGTTAACCCTCACGGCATATAACCTCTTCCGTGCATACCCACCACTGGGAAAAGCGTGAAAAACCTGCGGCAATCTGAGTGTGCTTATCATTCTACAAGTACAATATCACCGCGCGAGAGTGTGGTGTGTGGGTCTGACTGGATTCGAAATAGCTTTCTCCTGTCTCAAATGAGGTTGGTGTTCAAGCCACCCAGTATCTACTTGGGAGAACGGCCCGAATGGTGTACCACTGCACCATCCACCCCAGCCTCCAAATATTGTCACGTGAACTATCGTTACAAATGGAATGTGTCAGGAAATGCTGCTTAGTCAGCTAGTTGGTCAAGTGAAAGGTGTCCACATCATTAGTACATAACACCTTTATCACTACACACCCTTAGTCCTGCATCCATACATTCCTCACATATCGCATATTACTATCTGCATCACCTTACTCCCGTGACTATACTTTCTCAATATCCAACAGAATGCGAGTTGTCAGATTCTGACTGTACTAGATGGTAATTTCAGGAGGGCAAGACTGAACACCTATACGCGGTGTCCTCTACGAACCTAGGAGTGAAATATTCACCCAGTGCCAAACTCAGTCAAATTTCGCAATACCAAAGAAGTTGGCCCACGAGACATTGATTCAAATTACTCCACCACGTCAAATTTTCACTCCCAACGACTTTGACTCCTACCTAAGCCTCATCAAGTCTACAATTACGTCCAAGTACATCCTCATTCCAATGACCACACCTCTCGTCGAATTTCTCTAGCCTCAGCTGTTTACCAAATACACACCAACGCCGATACTTATACCCGACGCAGGACATAAAGCGCCGCGCACAAATCTGGGAGATAGTGCTTTGGGATGGACGTGAGAGGGATCAGGACAAGATGAAAAATTGATGCGAAGGAAGAATGTAACCTTCGAAGGGCGTGAGATTTCGAATTTTGGCAAGAGTTTTACAAATTGAGCTTTATGCGCGCCAAGATTTCGCCTGCGAGAGTGCAGTTGACACAACATAAAAAAGAAAACTATGAAAGGTGTTGTAGTCTGCCTCCTGGTGATGTTCTCTGGTATAGTTTGAGTAGCCTGGGCACCTACTCCACTTGGGAAGGAGACATCTCAGATCACATACTGCGCGGAGAAAAGTTGATGGATGACAGAGGCAAGTCTGGATAACTCAGAGTTCTTGAGACGTTCCCCTGGGTGGGCATTCACGGATGAGGGTTGACTTGGGGTGAAGTAAAAAAGCCACCATAACTTCGCAGTGGTACTTGCAAATGAAATCCGAGGCATGAGTGCTCCTCCTTTACGTCGAATCATCTATTCTATACTTTTCTTTGATATTGTTTCATAGGTAGATAGCTGCATACGCAATTAAAATCTGGTGCAAAAAAAAAAAAACTGATTTGATTCAAGTACGTTCTACCCACCACGTTTTCTCGCGTTGGTATCGTACTTGCACAGTGACGAAAGCGTACTCTGATAACCCTGGGCTATTTACGCTTTGTGCTATGGTGCGCATGCACGGAGGAGGTTGTACGCCGCAATGTTTAATCTCGAGTGGTGTATGTAAATTAATCTGAGTCTGAGTGTTCCAATCGCCAGACTTATTCATTATTTATATCATATACCTTCCGGAAAAACCTGCATAGGCTTGTATGTATGTGTTTATTGTTATATAAAGTCTATGACTATGTAAGGATATGTAGGTCCTTTCTGCCTACAGGCCGGGAGTATATGTCTCGGGTAGTGTAATCCCTTCTATGCCTCCTTCACGACTTCTTTCCAGCTGTAACACTTTCATGGATAAGCAGTAGGGTATAATTAATTTGTTTTATTTCCGAGGCAGTCTAAATGACGGTAGGCTATTAGGGTAGTGCTTGATCTTGGTAAGCTAGTGGGTGGGTTTGGATGCAAGGGTCTAGAAAGGCAAAGGTGTTTGTTTTTTTTTGAACTTTTTGGTCCTAAGCTAAAGATATATTTTCCACAATGGGTCAAGGACCGGCGGATCCGGCAGGGTTCCCTGTAATCTTTCCTTCAGCCTAACTCGTTCCAACCTCGTGAATCGCTACCAAAAGTGCAGCTGATTAAACTGAAACGAAAAATCATGAAAATCAAAACACCTCCGAAAACCAGAAGATTTCTCCTCATTGGACCCAAGCAATATGCTTCTCACACATTCCGTCGTCCGTCACACCTTCCAAATGACAAAATTTATTCAATCTCCGCTGAGAGCAAGAGATGAGTTAGCAAGCACCTGTGATCCAGCCGATATCCTGCTATTGGTTAGTAGATGCCCTCAAAGGGACATCGTCGAGGTTGCTGTGTCCTCAAACTTCTTCAGATTCCAACACTCCGAAACCTGTTGCCTCGGCCATCGAGACATTCTTCGCCACGGCGATGTTCGCCTCCTCGGCCCTTTGGCTGCTGCTCGGGCTCGTGACACCTTCGTGAACTCCCCTGGTTCGGTTTCGCGGATCCACGCGAGCTGCTCTTTGGTCGCCGGTTCGGATTCTTTTGGTCTGACCTGGCAGGCCCGAGAATCCGATCGGTGATGTCCCCCACAGTTGCGACAGCGTGTGAGGGCCTTGCACTCGGCTTCCGAGTGCATATTTGATCCACAGTTCCAGCAGGCTGGAGCAACCACGCGTAGCGTGGAAGCCCAAGCAGCGTTTGCACTGTTCAATTGGTCGACGAGGCTTGTGAAGGGTAGCCTTACCAGACTCGTCGAAGAGGCGGAAGCCCGCACGAGGGGCGGAGTCCCGGTTGAATAGGGCATGCCAGTTTCGATACGGCACCCCAGGTCGACATGTCTCATGGGGTCGGACCTGGATTGTATTTACGCCGGTCGTAATGGCGATTTGGACAGAGACCCACTCAGCACTGACCGCCCTGGTTCCATCC